CATATCAATAGTTACAACCTGTGTGGTGTGTACACCATGGTTTCCATGTAGTGATTTTACTGATTTTGTCAGGTGGTAATATATCGACAGTCACCACCTGTAAGATGTGTTCACCGTGGTTTCCATGTAGCGACTTTGTTCCATGTTAACATGTTGACAGTCACCACCTGTGAGTTGTGTACACGGGTACTTTCTATGTAGTGATTTTACTGGTTTTGTCAGGTGTTAACGTATCGATAGTCACCACCTGTGAGGTGTGTACACCATGGTTTCCATGTATTGATTTTACAGGTTTTGTCAGACACCATGCTTTCTGTGTATTGATTTTACTGGTTTTGTCAGGTGTTAACATATCAACAGTTACAACCTGTGTGGTGTGTACACCATGGTTTCCGTGTAGTGATTTTACTGGTTTTGTCAGGTGTTAACATACCAACAGTTACAACCTGTGAGGTGTGTACACCATGGTATCATTGTAGTGATTTTACTGATTTTGTCAGGTGTTAACATATCAACAGTTACAACCTGTGAGATGTGTTCACCATGGTTTCCATGTAGCGACTTTGTTCCATGTTAACATGTTGACAGTCACCACCCGTGAGTTGTGTACACGGTACTTTCTATGTAGTGATTTTACTGATTTTGTCAGGTATTAACATATGGATAGTCACCACCTGTGAGGTGTGTACACCATGGTTTCCATGTATTGTAGTTATTTTGCACTGCGATATTTTGGTTGTTACATATATTATGACCCTATTACCACTTATTTTAATTAAAATGTTAGTGACTGCTTGTCTTCGTTGTTTTGTTTTTTTTCAACTAGTACTATACATAAACTCCTTAGAAAGGGTGATGTTTTATTTCGGTATATATTATGTAATGTTAGTTTATGTATTCCTTTCTTACATAAAACACTTCATGGTTATGTTGTGTACTGTTACCTAGGGCATATGGTTGACTCTTGCCACTGACCTTTGTATTTGTGGTGTCTAAACTTGGTTTACTGTGGCTGGGGTATGACTTGTTGCAGGTTTATTTTTTGGATGGCCCAGGTGCTTTACCATATCCATTGGTTTTCCAATACCATTAAGTACAAGGGAAGTTTAAATCATCAATATGAACATGTATTTATGATCTAAGCCTATGAGTTTTTTGAGGACTGTTACCTATTTTTCCCCAAACTGATCACTATTTGGTGGCATCGCATTAGCTAAGACATTCCAAAATGTACTTCTGATACATGCCATAATGCTGCAACTTTTTTTCGGCTGTGGTTGTTCGGTGACTTGCTAAATATTATTGGAATATTCAAATTTATTTTAATATAATTGTAAGAGGAAAAAGCTGATAAGAGAAAAGAAACTGTGGGATTGGGACTTGAACCCAACACCTTTGGCGAACAGGGCCAATGCTCTATCGAAGAGTACAAGCAGTCCCCATCTTCCTTCACTCATTCTACTTTGTGTTGTAGTTGGACAGTTCATTTACTACTAATTACATTAATATAATGTACCCAACCCTTTACGTGCGGATGTTATAATAAAGGTTTAAAACAGAATATTTTGGTTCTTGAATGTGTAGAAATTGTTAAGAGTTGTGTTTATAATGTAAAGTTGGATTTTCATGTTTATACATAGTATTAATATATTAAACAAAAAAGCTTCAGAAAATTATCCTGAAAAACCTAAATATTGTTCGTTTATTTTGCTTTTCTTTAATTATTCTCACAACCACTTAGAGCACTAGGAAGTTTAGTTTAACTAGATATTTATTCAGCTAGTTTTATCTCCTTACAGGGGCTCGTACAAAACGAAGCAAGCATTTAAAGACAGAAATAACGAAAGTTTGGAGAAAGATTGTTCGTTTATTTTGCTTTTCTTTAATTATTTTCACAACCACTTAGAGCACAAGGAAGTTTAGTTTAACTAGATATTTATTCAGCTAGTTTTATTTCCTTACAGGGGCTCGTACAAAACGAAGCAAGCATTTAAAGACAGAAATAACGAAAGTTCGGAGAAAGATTGTTCGTTTATTTTGCTTTTCTTTAATTATTTTCACAACCACTTAGAGCACTAGGAAATTTAGTTTAACTAGATATTTATTCAGCAAGTTTTATCTCCTTACAGGTGCTCGTACAAAACGAAGCAAGCATTTAAAGACAGAAATAACGAAAGTTCGGAGAAAGATTTCTATGCGAGAAAGTGGAATCAGCTGGAGTAAACTTGAACAACAGGATACCTCTGAAACCGAGTCTGAAAGAGAGAAAGATTTATTTGTTGAGAAGAACAAAGGAACAAAGGAAGCGGAAAACAGAAAAGAGAAAGAAAAGGAAAAAATGAAAGAATTTGAAAAGATGAAAGAAAGTAAAAAAGAGAAACAAGAACCTGGAAAGAAGGAAGAAGGGTTTACCTCCACATCCAAAAACAAAAATAAAAAAATCCCTCCAGCTTTACCAGTGCTTCCTCGAGAAAAAGGTAATCTTAATGTGTGTGTGTGGAAAAAAAAGTAATTTTTTTAATCAAAAAAAATTTTTGATTACTTTAATCAAAAGTAATTTGAGAACAAAAATATAAACTTAAAAAAAAAAAATCTTATCCTAGTAATAAGTGATTTTTTAAAAACATTTCTTAAAAAACAAGCTAATCCCAGCAGTTTTTAAATTGAGAACCTCTTTTTATTATGCATAATGGGCTTTCCCCATTATGGATGTGACTTTTCTCCCTTATAAAAGAAAATAAGACCCATATTACGTGTTGAATACAGTAATTGGTATTCGTGCCACCAAAAGGCATAATATCAAAAAGTGTAAAATCTAAATACTAATTATTCTAACTTTACTTTTAGTCCAATTTGATTTGGTAAAAGTTAATTTTGAGAATTGTTTTTTGAATTTTGGGCAAATCTATTCAAGAGCTTTCTGTGCTAGCTATCCCTAATATTGAAGTGATAAATTAAAGAGAAAGTAGCATTTCAACACCACCCACTGCCAACTCTTGTTGGACCAAATAGTGGGATTTGCTTGTTACTCTTATAACACACCCACGGTTCTAAAGTTCACCAGAAGATTGTTATTATTATGGGAATCATAGAACTTTACATCTATAGTCTGGCACACCAATCACAAGCCCAAACTTGGCCTCTCTTTAGAATTCATTAGTTGTTGTTTTTCTTTCATGCTTTTAAATGGGTTACTTTAAGAAAATTACAAATAGTTTTGAAATAAAACAAGTTATAAAAACATTTGATAATCAAATAGTTGTTGAACCTCACTTCCAAACAAATAATCTGGTAATGTTGGAACAAAGTTGTATTTTTTTAATTTCCATGTCTGGTGAGATTGAACAGATTTTTTTTTTGCTAAATTAGTGAGCTTAGATAATTTTTATAGCTTTGGAAGATGACATAACCTCCACAAGCTCCGAGTCTCTGCCGTTGCCTTCTCCACTGTCGCCACCATCTCTGACCTTCTCTGTTTCACCACAACCTCCACCTGTCACTCCAAAAAGAAGTCCAAAAACCAGAGGGCTAAAAAAGAATGTGAAAAAGAAATCTTCTAAAACAGCTACCAAGTCAGCAAATAGTAATCGCTCACCCAAGCGTATCACCTCACCCCCACCACTGCCCCCAGCAAAGTCCCCCAAACTCAGCAAACGGACAAGTTCGGCATCCTCTCCTCCCCCACCTCTTTCCAGTCCCTCAACAAGTCCTCTACCTACAAGGTCTCATAAAGGTGGTGGGGCTCTATCTAGCCGGTCCCCGAAAAGAAACACATCACCTCCCATACTTAAACCTCAGGCTCCCATTCCAAGTAGCAAACCAAAGGATTGGGACAAAGAACACCCACATTCTCACAGAGGTAACTGTTCTAGATTTAACTCATAAGTAATAATACTTGAATGTTTTAAGACTTTCATGAGCGTATCATAGTTTGTATTGGTTGTGAGTTTTGTTGCATATGTGTTTAAGATAATAAACTGTGATAATTTGTTAAAATGTCTTAAAAAAAAATCTATTATGAATTGTTACTACTAACAGAAATGCTGCCCTACAGGCGGCTATTTGTACTAATGATTACTATTTGTAGTATTCATACCTCATTGAAAACATTTAGAAAAAAATGAACATTTTCTAGAAAAGGATTTTTCTGGAAAGTACTACCAGGAAAAGCTGTAATGTTTTTTTGTATATAAAAGTGGTACCCTTTATTGAAAAACATTTTTTTTTTGTACAATATTTACAAATTACATCACTAAAGATATAATCAAACCCTCACGTACAGTCATAGTGAAAGTCCTGTTCTTGTTGTAAGATGAGTACTTTTATTAAACATTATGTTCTGTGATAAAGAAATGGTTGTTACACATACTGAAGTTATTTTTCTAATTGTGTAAATCTTGAATACCCAAAGTGAATTTTTTTTTTTAATTGATTTGTGTTTGTGGTGCCATTCAATAGATGGCGCCACATTGTATTTATTATTTCAGTCATGTACATAGATACATATATACACGCTATGTCCATTATAATAAGATTTGTAAAAATGAGATTCTTTGTAATTTTGTATGGTTGAAAGATCTTTTTTAAAATTTCTAAATTTTTTCTCATGTAAATTCTTCATTTTTAATTCTGCTGAGTTAGAAAACAAGTAATTTTTACACAACAGCCACCAAGAGTGAATTGTAGTTGATCAGGTCTACTGTGAAAAACATGTACATTGTGAAATTTTAAATAGAGTAGTACTTGAAATTTGATGTGATTTTTTTTTTCTTAATCATGTGTAAGAGACTTTATGGTAAGTGTCAAGAACACAGAGACTCTTCAGAAATGTCTTGTGATCAGAAATTGAAAACAAAAATACAATTAGCTATTCTGGCACAGGCTACCTTTGATAAGGTTGGTGCAGTTTAATTCAAATCAGTGTTTTGATCAGTAAAATCATATTCGTAAACAAAAAAAACTTCTCTTAGATGATAAATGGTAGTGACCGAAAGTTACAAAACTAAAATTTATATAATTATCTATTAAAACATATTATGAGTAAGTAAAATAATATTATTTGGTAAGTTATTTGTTTTTATATTTTTACAAAATAGACAAAAACTTTTTATGGTTATCATCAGTCGTGATAAGAAATTTAAGCAAGTTACAGCTAATCTTAAAAAAACACAGCCTAGGTCATAAGCTCAGTGTTGCTTATTCTAGAATTATCTTTTCTTAACATTCAGGGAGAACTCAGAAGCATTTGGCTACCCCAGTTCCAGCTGAACCACCAGAAAAATTGCCTAAGAAAGATAAACCTTTTACTGGTAGATCTCGAAGAGCAAGCACTGTCAAGCAGTCACAAGACCGCGAGAAAGAAAGAGAACGTGAGAAGCAAAAAGAGAGTGAACACAAGAAAGAAGGTAAGAATTTGTTTTGATGTGTGTTTACTAAGCATTTATGTAATATTGTGTGTTTACTAAGCATTTATGTAATATTGTGTGTAAAACAAACTTCTACAACTTATAGAACAGAAATAAGGAAAACTAGTCTAATGCAGTTGTTACACAGTTTTCATTGTGTGTACTTCATACAGCAAACCAGTGTAATACAGTTGTTACACAGTTCTCATTGTGTGTAGTTCATACAGCAAACCAGTGTAATACAGTTGTTACACAGTTTTCATTGTGTGTACTTCATACAGCAAACCAGTGTAATACAGTTGTTACACAGTTCTCATTGTGTAGTTCATACAGCAAACCAGTGTAATACAGTTGTTACACAGTTCTCATTATATGTAGTTCATAAGGCAAGCCAATCTAACACAAGTATTATATGTGTAGTTTATAAGGAAGGCTAATCCTACACAGTTGTTACACAGTTCTCATTGTTCATACAGCAATCTAACTTCATTCAAAAGAATGTGTTGTTTACAGTATTTGCTTTTATTTTAAGTTCAGAATTGTTATATTCTGTGTAAAACTGTAAAACATTATGTTAAAGTTAAATTATATTAAATGTCTTATTATCAGTTCTACTAATGAAAAAGATGTTTGTGATAATAATTTGTAACAATAATTATTAAATTGTATTTTTATTGTCTAATGCACATTTATTGTTACAATGGTTGGAGAGTATTTCAGCCACAGTTTGAGGGTTTACTTTGAACTTTATTCTTACAAAAGTGATCATATATTAAAACTGTTAAGGTTTTACCAACCCCAGTCTTCACTAAGTTTGTGGAAAATTGAATAACAGTGTAATCACGTTTTGTTGATCCTCTACTAAGTAGATAGTAGGTTTCAGTGATTGTAGACAATAAATCCCCCCTACTGACTTGAAGG